TTTGAGGCTTCTTTATATATTCTCGGTACAAGTTCCATTTAAGAGTTGCAAATATTTTTTTCTTTTTTTATGAATTGCCATTCACTGTCACAGTGGTGTCTTCTGAAGCACAAAAGTTTTCAATTTTGACAAAATCTAACTTGTTGTTTGTGCTTTTGATGTTATATCTAAGAACCTACTGCCTAACCCAAGGTCTCATAGGCTCACTCCTATGTTTTCCTTCCACAAATTTTAGTTTCAGCTCTTTTTTTTTTTAAAGATTACTTATTTAAGTTTATTTATTCATTTATTTTTAATTTGACCAGAGAGATACACAGAGAGAGAGAGAGAGAGAAAGTGAGAAAGCAAGCCACCAGGTTCAGGACTTTAACTGTGGTCGGCCATGTGGAAGGGTCCAGCATCTTAACCACAATGCCACCTGCTGGCCCCCAGTTTCAGCTGTTTTTCTAATTATTATTTAATTTATTATTATTTTGTTATAGTACACATGTATTCACCAGAGAGAGGCAGAAAGAGAGAGAAAGTGAGCAAGAAAGGAAGTGAGAAAGCAAGCCACCAGGTATGGGACTTGAACTATGGTCAGCCATGTGGGAGTACAGTGCCTTAACCACCATGCCACCTGCCAGCTCCTATAGTTTTAGCTCTTATATTTAGGTCTTTGATACATTTTCAGATAACTTTTACATATGATGGTAGGTAGGAAACCATCTTCATTCTTTTGTATGTGTTTGTCAGTTATTTCAGCATCATTAGTTGAAAAGACTTATTCTTTCCCCCAATTTTTGAGACCCTTACAAAAATCACTCGACAGTAAATGTGAAGCTTGTTTCTGGACTGAGTTGTATTGATTTATGCATCTCTCCTCTCTGTTCTGTTGATCTGTGTCTGTCCTTATAAGCCAGTACTACACTGCTGTGAGTTGTACAGCTTCGTAGTAAGTTTAGAAACTAGGAAATGAGAGTCTCCCAATTTAAATTTTTTTTTTCAAGATGGTTTTGGCTATTCTGGGCACACAACAGATTCTTACAACACAGTGGTTGCGTGGTCACTTGTTTTCTCATTTCCTTGATGGGTGGCCAGTCTGCATGTGTATGTGAAGAGCTCCTCTCCTACTTCTCAGCCTCCCTTTCACACGGCCTTTGGCCAGGAGACCCAGGCTGTTCTGATTGAGCTGTCACAGGGCAGGGCAGGGCAGGGCAGTAAGAGGAGGGCCTTGGTAAGTTGCTTCTGGTCCCTCAACAGGAGATCTAACCCTAGTTAATCCTTGCTCACCTCACCTAGTCTTGCAGGGTTGGTGTTTGGGTGGTTATAACTCTATCCAGATCCACTTCAAACCAAATTACACCAATTTCATCCTGTGCCTGTCATCCCCTCGCCCTCCCATCCTTTCCTAAGCATGATTCATGACAAACTGGTACAGGAGCGAGTCCATCTAATCTGTCAGGTGGGCCAGCGCAGCAGCCTGACCTTCCCAGTGGCATGTCTGGTCACCCCATGTGTTCTTTCTCTTTTTCTTTTCTTTCTTTTTTTTTAGAGAGAGATTTTCACTATAGTGCATGCCAGAGAGACAGAAAATAAGAAATAACCCCGGGGGGGGGTGTGTGGCCATGCCCCAATCCCTCTTCTCCATTCTCCTCTCATGATTTTGGGCACACACACACACATGCCCAGTGTGAATTTTAAGCCAACGATTCAGGACTCAAACTGTGGTTGACTATGTGGGAGTCTAGCAACATAACCTTTATGCCATCTGCTGGTCCCCTTTTTCTAAATAATTATTTTATTTTATTTATCTTTTTTATTTTTAATTTGCTACCAGGTGTGGTCAGCAGGTGGCATGGTGGTTAAAGGTAGACTCCCACATGGCTGACCATGGTTCAAGTCCTGAACCTGGCAGCTTGTTTTCTCACTTTCTCTCATGCATGCATGTGTATGTGCTCTGTCCCTCTCTGGTCAAATTAAAATAAATTTTAAAAATTTTATTAAAGAATTATTTTATTTAACTTTATTTGTTTTGATTCTAATTTGACCAGAGAGGGACAGAGTGAGAGAGAGAGAAAAAAAATGAAAAAGCAAACTGCCAGGTCCAGTACTCGAACCACGGTTGACTATTTGGGAGTCCAGGACCCTTAACCACTACTCCACCTGCCAGCCCCAAAAATAAAATAATTCTTTAAAATAAAAAAAATAAAATAAAAAATTGCTACAGGGCCTGTGTGCTCGCCAGAGAAAGAGAGAGATGGGGAAAATGAGAAAGCAAGCTGCCAGGTCCAGGACTCAAACCACAGTCAGCCATGTGGGAGGCCAGCACCTGAACGACCACACCACCTGCTGGACCCCATGTGTTCTTTATGGACCCAGCAGAAGCATGTCACCTGAGCTGCAGGCACTAATCTTGCTGGGGGATGAAAGTTTTTCTCTGTGGTGCTTTCAGTCCTTGCCTTAAGGAGACCAGAAAAAGGAGGGTAAGGAAGGAGTCGGAGGTACGTTCTTTTGAAAGGTCTCAACACAAGCTGACCTGCTGCTGGTTCCATAAAGTAAGGACATGGCCCCCAGCTGGGAGCTATATGAACGGAATAAAAATTGTAAAACCAAGTCTGACTCCTTCATCTCAGGTGTTAGAAGTTTTCGCTGTCCCTCCGCCCCTCCCCACAGGGTAGGGGACAGTGTATGCACGGAGATAGACTTAGCCCAGCACCGTCACTTACCAGGCAGACTTGGGCCCAGTACTCCCCAACTTTTGTGCACAGGGCTTCCTGGCAGGTTCTGCAGAACACCTGCCTCCCAGGTGGGAGGAGCAGTGAAGGGCTGAGTAAGAGTGAAGCTTTCTTTGTGCCAGTCTCTATTTTAGTGTCTACATACATGAAGCAGGATAAAGGGAAAGGTTTCATAATTCCAGGCATGTTTTGATGTTTTGCTCTTGGGTGAAGCCTTTGCTTGCTCTCATGTATATTTTAATTCTTTTGGGAGTTTGCAAGAGGCCACTTAATTGTACCCTCTTCCCGTGCTGATTCTCAGCCAGTTGAAAAGTATGCAGAGGACCCAGGTGGAGGTAAAAAGTTCCTGCTGTAGGTGGCGGCCAGCACAGGCTCGGGCCGCGGCCAGGGTGCTCCTTTGCCCCTCATCCTCATCCGCCGCCCTCGCTCGTACTCTCTCCCGGTGTACAGGGCCTGGTTTCAGGCTGCAGAGCCAGCCGCATGGGGAGTAGAGACACGAAAGGCAGGTGTCCTAGGGGCTCTCTCCAGGGCCCTGAGGATGTCAGCTGCCGATGTGAATCCAGGCCCTGCTCTGTGGCCTCTGGGTAGGGTCACTGACTGCTCCACTCACTGACCCTGCTCAGCTCACTGCGCACGCCTGCGTATCCGGGATGCTGGTGTGAATTCTCTAAATCTGTGCTTTGCATGCGCCATGGAATGTGTTGCTGATTCTGATTTATTTTTTTCAGTTTAATATAGGGTCCCTGTGCTCACCAGACAGAGACAGAGGGATTGAATGAGAGAGAAAGTGAGAAAACACTCCTCCCTCCCCCCCACGCCCAGAGGGGATGGCCAAGCCACAATCCCCCCTTCTCCATTTTCTTTTCAGGATTTCGGGCATGCGCATATGCACCTGGTGTGTTTCTCAAGTCACCAGATCTGGGACTTGAACCACATAATTGGCCATGTGGGATCCAGGCCTCCTAACCCCCTGCCTCCTGCTGGCTCCCCATCCTGATTTTTTATAGCCTTTCAGAATCCTGGGACTGCAAGAGGGGTGAGCCTCTCTGAGCCCAGATTCCTCGTCTGTGAAGTGGGGATGGTAGCACCCACACATGGGATAGTGGAAGGATTGGGGATAAAGCGCTTGATCAAGGCCCAATGCATAACAGGCACCCAGCAGGGCCACCGGTCATCAACGTCCTGGAAACTCAGCCTTCTGGTGCAGACTCTCGACCTTCTTCCTGAGCAGGTCTCACTCGCGGCCAAATGGTCAGGGTGGGTCTGTGTGCTGAAGTTGGAGGTGTGGCTTTGGGAAAGGCGAAGGCTCAGCAGAAGCATGTCACTGACAGCAGGCATTGGCACGGGAGAGCTCTCCAGAGGCTGGCTGTCCTTGTGGGGGATCCCAGCCCCCTGTGTGAGACCTCTCCCAGGTTGGGGGTGGGAGGGGCAGGGCTGCTAGCACATGCGACAACACCTTAAACCTCTCTGCAAACCTGTATTTAGGACCGTCCCAGGCCAAGTGGAGAAGTAAACATTGGTTTCCCCAAGGCACCCACTTCCTCTCTGCACCCCATTCTACTCCTTCAGCCCCACTCCAGCCCTGGGAGCCAGGAAACAAGCATCCAAAGTGTACTCACTCCAGGGCTGAATCCAGCCCACCTGCTGCTTTGTCCAGCCCTGCGCTACGTTTGCTTTCTGTGTTTTAAAATGGCTGAAAATCAAAATGTTTTGTGACACTTGAAATTCAAACTTCGATGTCCATAAGTAAACTTATATTGGAACACAGCCAACCGTCTGCTTACATGTTGTCTACAGCTGCTGTCAGCAGAGTTGGTAGTGGTGACAGAGACCTTCAGGCCCACAGGGTCTAAAATACTTACTCTCTGGCCCTTTAAGGACAAATGCGCTGATGCCTTGCTCCAAGGTGTTAGCGACTAATGTGCCCAGAAAGAATGTGTGTTCCTAGGAAGGGGCAGCCAGTGGAGTCAGGGTGCTGTGGCAGGCCTGCCAAGGAGACGCTGGGTGGTGGGAAAGTCGCCTGGTCCTTCCAGTGACCCTAGAGGGGCTGAGGAGGTAACTGTAGTCCCACAGGTGGGGTGGCTGTGTCTATGGGATGGGGGCATGGAGATAGTGGGGCTTGGGCCTGTGAGTCACTCTAGCCGTGTAGACAGTGGGACTCAAAGGGGATAGCTAGCCTGCCTGCAGTGAGCTGTTCCACCTGCTTCCCTGCCCTGGCGTCCTTCAACCTCCCTGGCTGGCCCTGCACTGCGCATTCAGGGCTCACCTCTCTCGCCTCCACAGAATTCGCTTCTTGCCAAGTGGACGCCTCCATCGCTCTGGCCCTCGCCCTGGCCGTCCTGTGTGACCTGCTCCAGCAGTGGGACCAGCTGGCCCCTGGACTGCCCATCCTGCTAGGATGGCTGTTGGGAGAGGAGGACAACCTCATCTGCATGGAGAATGCACATCAGGTAGTCCTGGGCCTCCAGGTAGTGGGAAGCAGGGCTGGCACGTCCTCAGCCCCCGGGGTGTGGCACCCATGGGTGTGCCTGGGCTCCCCAAACACACTGCTGGATGGCTAGTACAAGCAGGAGCCACTTAGCAACTGCCTGCTGGGTGCTGCCGTGGCCACTGGGGATGTCCTCGTGGTGACTGCAGATGTTCCAGTGATATGCCTTTGTATCTGTAGTGGGGGAGAACTTAGAAAGGGGCCCCGTCGATGTTGAGTTTAGTTGTGGAGTGCTCAGTGGTTGGCACTGAAGTTAACCTGGATCCCCACAGTGAGGTTTGAGGGCGAAGTGTCTCCAAAGAAGTAGGGTCTTTCCAGGGAACTTGCTGAATGGACCAGCTCCCAAGTGGAGGAGCAGTCACTCACCGGGACACTGAAGAGCAGGACCAGCAGCAGAAGCACCCCAAGAACGAAAGCCCGCAGCCCCAGTGTGGGACTTAGCTGTGCTGCCCCCGCAGGCCAGGAGTTCAGAGAGTGGCCTGTTAATGAGAAACTGGGAGACATGGTCCAGTGCCATGATGAAAGGACCCTGGAAACCCCGTTAGAGAACCAGGTCTTACGTTTGGTGATTCTTTGCTCTTTGGTCTGCTGGGATCACCTCCCTCCCTCTTCTGATTTCTAGATGTACCTTCAGGGCTAGGGCATACTCCCTTGTTGGGGTCCCCTTTTTAGTACCAGGCCCCCAAAATAACTTGGCTTTGAACCACAAACACATCTTTATCAAAGGTCATGTTAAATCTGGGGAAAAAATTCCTCTCTGGTAGAGACGTACGCGTGAAAATAGAAGGTGACCGTCAAGGCTGTAAGTGGCGTGTGTACGTGGGTGTTGACATGCGAAAGTGGCCCTCTGTCAGGTGGGGGAGGGAGACACACCTCTCGTGCATCTGGCAGGGCTCTGCTGGGTCTAGGCTGGGGCCTGTCAGCACTCCCTGTGACATAGGCTTTTGGCTTTTCTTTAATTTAGGTGGAAGACGACTACCTGTTTGAAAAAGCAGAAGTTAACTTTTGGGCTGAGACCCTGATCTTTGTGAAATACCTCTGCAGGCAGCTCTTCCATCTCCTCTCTAAGTCTGGCTGGCGTCCTCCCAGTCAGGAGACACTCCATCACCTGCGAATGATGGTGTCAGAGCAGCGCCACCTCCTCTCTCAGCTCTTCAGAGAGCTTCCCCCGGCGGCAGAGTTTGTGAAGACAGTGGAGTTCACGAGGCTGCGCATTCAGGAGGAGAGGACCTTGGCGTGCTCCAGGCTGTTGGCACTGATCGGACCAAAGGAAGGGGAAGACACCCTGGTTCTCAGCGCTCCAGACTCTCCTGCAGAAGTGAATCTGTTAACTCTCCCAAGGGCAGAAATGGCATGTTGAAGAAAAGACCATTTGGGGAGGGTGGGAGTACATCTGGAACATTCCTGCAGGAAATGAATGAGCAGAAAAGATATCGACCATAAATTCAGAAAACGTCCCCCTCCATGCCTCCACCACTTCTGAGTGTAGTCTCCTGTCACTTCTCACAGTTTCCCTCAGTTCACTCACTCAAGGCAGCCTCGTTTATTGCAGCTACTGTAGGAAGCAAGGCTACCACACTGAATATTCACTGCCCAGGTGCAGGCCACCTGCAGGCCCCCTTCATCCCTCAGGGCCTCTAACACCCAGCCTTAAGCACCCTGCATTTTCTGTGACGTGACTACACAGAACTGGGTTTTAGCAAACACACGATTTCCCCCGCCACTTTTTATTGGGAGGGTGGGGGAGCACCATATAGGGGCTGGATTAGCTTGCCAACAGCCCATTAGTCAGATGACTAAATTTTATTTCAGTGTAGCAAAGCAGAAATATGTTCCAAATGTTGAGTCCTGGGAGAACTAAGACTCAACCTTAAAATGATTCATACACATCATTTTGTTTTTATTTTCTGCATGCATAAGTCCCACAGTCCATCCTAACTACTAAAGGAGCCTTTGAGAGCTCCCTCTGTCTCTCCCAAACATACGTGCACTAATGCTGGAAAACCTGATTTGCACCCAGTGAAAGCATACACTGAGCTGTTACAAGGAACCTGGGGAAAGAGCCAGAACATGAATAAATGACTTATTTGGTACCCATACTGCTTACTGTCATTTTCTTGGTGACAATAACAAGAAGATTCTCATTTAAGATGCCAGTAAATGCATTTATCCATTTTAGTGATTTTTAATCTAGGAAAAACTGAGGGTTTCCTGCCTTTCCAAGTACAGCCCAGCCCCTCTCCTCAGACACCCAGCAGGTGGCGCTCTTGCACACGTTTTGCGCTGAGCCTGTTTTTCCTGGCTTACCATTTTTAACGTATAATTTGAGAATAAGTATTACTCACAGACGGTTATCTTGACATTCATAGCTCGGACAGATCATAGGCTCATTCTCATTCATTTTTCATCCTAGGTAACTGAAAAAGCTATTTCAGTCACAGTGTGTACATTTGTTCCAGCTTTTAGAGTCTGTAAAAATGTTTAAATACTTCTCAGGTGAGTGGTCACTTAGAATTATTTTATTGAAATCCGAAGGTCTGAAGGGGCAGGTTAGAAGAGAGTTTGATGTGATCATTTCCTACTATAGAAAATCTGATACTTAAACATAATTTGTCTCTCAGAGAAAACCAGCTGACACTAAAAACATGTCCACACTGGAAGCACAGAGAAAGGGCTCTGTAGGAAGAGTTGGGAAAGACAGTAACTCGGAGTCCCACGTTTTGTCCTAAAGAGAACAGGAAATTCCCTGAGTGGTTTTGCAGCCATGCAGGCTGAATGTGGTTTTTGTGATCCTGAATTAATTACCTACTTGTGCATCTGTGGAGCCCACACCTGATGGAAAGTTGCCAACTAACACTTCTTTTGTGTTAGAGACCTAGGTGGTGAGAAGGCAGGGACTTGGTGGCATCTGTGGGATAACCACCAGAAGACAGTTATGAAACTGGCCCCACGGCTCATTGGAAAAGGCCAGCACTCCTTTGATCTCCATTGAAAATGAAATAAAAGCAGTTACATGCTAAAAATATTTTATATTCTCAGGTACTCTACCAAAGCATGTACCATAACATGTGTACATATTAGCTCCAGAATTCTACTTCTGCAGACAGAAGTGGGTGACCAGGAATTAGCCCAGATTTTGATCTTGGCTGCCTCTGGCCAGTTGAGGGGGGGGGGGGGCGG